CGGACCGCACGAGGCAGCCTTTCTTGCCATTGGCGAAGTACTCCTGCCGAGTAGGGCTCGCGGCCACCATCAGAAGTTCGAGTGGTGACGGCGCTGCGGCGAACCTCAACATTGGTTCTTGAATATTCAAGCTTCGCCCGCAACCTTCCTTGCGAGAGCTGCGTCTCGACCGCAACGCCGAGCCTAGCATCGCGCGCAATGCGCATTCGTGCCGGCCCAAATCGTCGACGCGGCCCGCGGCTCGAGGTCGCATCAGCGACGCCCTACCAGCAGCCGGTCGCCACCGCGCAGCCCGTCGTCGTCGTCGCGAGCCAGCCTGTCGCGCCGCAGCCCGTCGTCGTCGTCGCGAGCCACCCGGTCGCGCCGCAGCCCGTCGTCGTCGCGAGCCACCCGGTCGTCGCCCAGCAGCCCGTCGTCGTCGCGAGCGTCGCGCCGCCGCCGCCGCCTGCGGGCGGCTCCGTCGCCTACCAGCCGGCCGCCGGAGTCGCGCCGCCGCCACCGGAGCCGTCGAAGCGCCGCGGCTCCGCGTCGGCGCTCTTCGGCCGCGCCGCGGCGCTCACGAAGGCCACGGTCGTCGGCCGCCTCGCGCCGAGCCGCGTCGCCAAGTCCGAGGTGCTCGCGCTCGACGGCCACCCGCGGCTCGTGAAGCTCGGCGGCGGCAAGCTCACGATCTACGAGTCGTCCACCGAGGCGAGCGAGAAGCGCGTCATCTTCCGCGCGCCGATCAAGTTCGTCCGCGTCGTCGGCGACGGCCACACGGCGTCCACCGTCAAGCAGCACCGCTTCGGCGTCGTCGCGCCGAACGAGATCCGCGTCTACGTCGAGCCCGAGGCGCTGAACGACGAGCACAACGACATGAACGGCTCGGGCGTCGGCTTCGGCTGGTGCCCGGGCCACCTCATGGTCGGACCGCAGGCGCCGATGACGGCCTTCGCGGGGGACCTCAAGCGCCAGAACTTCAGCCTCTTCGCCAAGGACGCGACGGCGAAGCACTCCTGGCAGACGATCCTGACGACGAGCTCGAACTCGTCGCGCGAGTGGGCCTACGTCAAGCACGAGGTCAAGGACACGGCGAAATACGTCACGCGCAGGAAGCGCTAGGCAGCGCCTCATAAATTGTTGTTGTTGTACCGGGCTGGCGCACCCTCCTCGGCGTCACGCAACGCGCCGAGCACAGCCTCTGGGTCGGGTCGCGCCACTGGGTCGAGGTCGAAGAGACGGGGCACCTCGACGACCGCGTCAAGAACCTCTTCCTCCCCAAGACCGCGGGCGTCGACCCGGACGCCGCGGCCGCCGACGGCTTCGGCGTCAACCGGAGAACAAGCTACCGCGCCTTCCCCGAGTGGGAGCTCGTCTACTGCGGCGACGGCGCGACGAGGGCGCGGCTCGAAGCGGCCATCGCGGCCATCAACCAGAGCGACGGCGCGAACCTCTGCTGCCCGCGGCTCTGCCCGAACGCGTGCTGCGTGCAGCCGTGCCAGTCGCCGCCGCCCTGGATCGCCGACGTCTTCGAGGACCACGAGGCGCGGCTCGGCGCGGCCGAGGGCGACGCCCTCGACGTCTGGCGCGCGCCCCTCTTCTCCGTCTGGCTCTGGCCCCCGGCGGCCTTCGCGGCCGGCGCCTTCTTCGCGGTCGTCGACTCGCTCATGAAGCCCAACGCCGTCGTCAAGCACGTGCTCTGGGGCACGGCGTCGGCGGCGTGCGGCGAGGACAACACGCTCGCGACCTTTGTGACCGTCGCCTGCATCTTCGCGGTCGTCGGGCCCGCTGTCGCCCTGTTCGTCCTCCGCGGCAAGCGGACCGCGACGATCCGCGTCTCCGACACGCACGTCTCCCTCTCGACGCGGCGATCCCGCACGACGACGAGGTGGGCGGACGTGACGGAGGCGCGCCTCGTGCCGCCGCGCGGCGAGCTCTCGCTCTACTCGCCCGGGTCCCTCGTCGTCAAGACAAAAAGCTTCGAGCGCGTCGAGGTCTCCGACGCCTGCCGCGACGGCTGCTGCGGCTGCTGCGGATTCTGCACGTGCTTCTACGCGGGCCTCGGCTGCGGCGTCGGCTACCTCAACGCGGACGTACGCGTCGCCGAGTGCGCGCAGAGCGACGAGACGCTCATCGAGATCCCGCGCGCGGCCGAGCGCGCGGCGACGCTCGCGGCCGTCCCGGGGCTCTCGGCGCTCCTCGCCAAGCCGCGCGGGCCGCGCGAGCGTCGCGGCGGACGACAAGGTGTAAAAAAATGCTGTGTTGATCTTCTTATGACACCATGGAGGACGCGGGGGGTTCGCGCCCGGACGCGCCCCGGACGCGCCCGGACGCCCGGCGGACACGCCGGACGCCCGGACGCGCCCCGGACGCGCCCAGGACGCGCCCAGCAGCAGTCCGAGGCGCCCAGAGTACTCGCTGATGCGATTTGGAGACTAGCTATAGATTGACATTACTGTAGTGGAGCCAGCAGCCACCTCCCGCGGCGGGTAATGGAGCACGCGTGGCGGTCGGTGGGGGACGGGGCGGCGGTAGCCTCGACCGCGCGTCGCGCGTAGGGGGCGTGGTCGCTGCGCTGCGAGCGGTGAATTTGCGGTCGCGGCCGGCCGGCACAAGGTCCTCGCGGAGTTCCTGAGACGGGGTTCGCGCGCGCGAACCTTTTCGCCGGGTCGTGGGTCGTGGCGTCTGGTCTGAGGGTTGTTCTCTCGCCGGGCCTCGCGTCAGCCCCGGCACGCCCCGGCAGCACGCCGACGGACCTGGAGCTACGGGGCAGCCCTTGGAACGAGCAGATGATGCGGTGCGAGTCGGCGTGCGAGCGCGCGCCGCTATGGGGCGCGCCGCCGATTCTGCGGGCCGAGTTGTAGCTACGCGTTCCTGAAATGCGTAGCCTGTTCAACCAGTCCGCTGCGGGGCACGGCGACGGCCGCGGCAGCGTGTCGCAGCACAGCCAGTCGAAGCAACCGCCACTCTGCCGAGGATCGACTGTCCGAGCTGCACGTTATAATTGTGCAAGTCTTGGCGCGGCTGCCCAACGCCGGCGTATGGACGCCGCGCGCGCCCGTCGCAGACCAAGAGAACGCGCCCGCCGCTTCACCATCGCCCCTCTGAACAGCGGGTTGTCACGACGCAGGTGCTCGGGCTCGGGCAGCCCAAAGAAGCGTGCTGCCTCTGCCGTCGAGCGACGGATGCGCTGCGCGCCGCCGAAGTCCACGTCGATACAAACCCTAGGCACAAGGAAGCCTCGGTGGCCCGTGGGCGGGCGCGTGGCGCCAGTCCTTCGGCGGCCTCTACTGACGGCGACGCAAGCACCTGCGAGCCTTGCGCGCTCACCGACTCGCACGCCCGTGCTCCCGCGCATGAGTTCGCGTCCAGTGGAACTCGCACCGCGGTCGCCGTGGCCCTCTGCCGATGAGAACGCATCGCGCGGCCAACTCGCGCGTGCTCCGAAGTGCCGAGGAAGAACCGAGGCGCCGCCGTCGCGAAGGAGCGCGGCGCGTTTCGCCGCGGCTGACCGCCCCGCCCGCGGCCGAACTCTGCCGGACGCCTCCCAACTCGAGCACTCTTTCCCGCACTTCCCCCGGGAGGGGGCACTTCCCCGGCGCCCCATATCCACCCGCGGACATAAACTTTTCTGCACCGCGTCTGGCGAGACGCGGCCTGTCGACCAGCTCCGGAGCACCCACGTTCGGCTCTCGGGACCTGTCTGAGGACTCCGCATGCGTCCAGGCTGGACGCCCCCAGGACGCCCGCCGGACGCCCGGACGCGCCCAGGACGCGCCCAGGACGCGCCCGGACGCCGGCCGGACACCCCGGACGCCCGGACGCGAACCCCCCGCGTCCTCCCATGATGGGCTGCCATCATTAGAGGCGATGCGCTTGTGCAGCTTCGCGCTGCTCTGCGCAGCAACAGCGCAGCAGCAGCGCCTCGATGCGCAGCGCGGCGCGTCGCCGGGCGGCCGGCGGCCGCCGCCGTCTCCCAAGGATCTCACGCTGCACGAGAAGCAGACGCTGCTCGCGCGCGGCCGCAAGCATCGCATGAAGTATTCGCCGAGCCTCCACGCCGCGGCGAACCACCGCCTCGTGCTGCGAAACATCACGCCGACGCGCTTCGACCGCGGCTGGGACGCCGCGACGGTCCGCGCGGCGCCGAACCGGACGCTCTGCAGCCGCGGCCACGTGCTGCCGTCGCTGATGCTCCTCGGCTGCATGAAGTGCGCCACGACCCTGCTGCATCGCTTGGTCGTCAAGACCTGCCCGCAGAGCGTCACGCAGGGCCGCGCGTTCAGGGACGAGAGCTGGTTCCGCGTGAAGGAGAAGCACTACTACGACCGCGACGAGTCGGAAACGAACGACCTCAAGACCTACGTCAGCCACTTCCCCCGCTGCCCGCGCAGCCGCAAGGTCCTGGGCATCGACAGCACGCAGGCCTACCTCAAGACGCCCGCGGCCGCGCCGCGGGCCGCGGCGACGTTCGGCGTCAACGGCGACGCCGCGCGCCTCGTCGTCGTCCTCCGCGACCCGTCGGCGCGGCTCCTGAGCAACTACCACCACCGGCGCAAGTCCGGCGAGCTTGTGAACGAGTCGACCTTCGAGGGCTACGCGCTGCGCCAGCTCGACGAGGCCGCGGCCTGCGGCGACGGCCCGCTCTGGGGCCGCTGCGGCTTCCGGCCGACGGACGGGCTCTGGGTGGGCCTCTACGCGGAGCAGCTCGCACACTGGCTCGTCGGCTTCGCCGCGCCAAGCTTCACGCTCCTGCCCTTCTCGGAAGTCACGGGGAACCAGACGCGCGCGCTCCGCGCGCTCCTCGGCGCCGTCGGGCTCGAGTGCAAGGAGACGGCGACGCCGCTCCCGAAGACGAACCAGAAAACGCCCGGCGACCGCCAGCGTCCTGCGGCTGTGACGATGTTCGAGAGATTTCGGGTGAAAAATTGTTGCCGACGTGCCTGGTAGGCAACGCGTCCATCGACGACTCGCCGGCGCAGGCGCCGCTCTCCGCGTTCTACGCGCCGCGGAGCGACGCGCTCGTGCGGCTCATCCACGGCGCGGGGCTCCGCGTCGAGCTCGCGAGCACCGACTACGCGGCGCCCGAGTTCGCCGACTACGCGTGCGCCGCCGAGCCCTGCGCGTGGCCATACTAGCGTCTGTTAATTCCGCGCGCGGGCGCGCTCACTCGAAGGAGAGCCGCCGGCTGCCGTGCGTCCGCCGCTCGTCGAAGAAGCGCCGCTGCGACCGCGGCGACCAATTGCGCGGCGAGAACTGGTTGCCCTTCTTCGCCACCTCGCTGGCCGCCGCCTGCTGGAGGAGGCGCTTACCGATGTAGCTGTTGGCGACGTCGTCGAACTCGGAGACGAGGTCGTTCTTGGCTTGCTCGCTGTATTTCTGGTTCGCGCGCGTGGCGGCGATGAGGATGCGCATGCTGTGCTCGTCGAAGCCCATGGCGTGCTTTGCTTTTGGGCTGCCTCCGGAGAGTGTGCTTTGCTTTTTGGGCTGCCTCGGAGAGCGTTTGCGCGTCGATCGAGAGCGCCCGTTAACTCCTCGAGGTGCAGTTCTTGAGGCTGATGCTGCTCCTCGTTGCAGAGCTCGCCTCCGATGTCGTCATGAGCACGCCGCCTGGCTCGCGGTAAGCCCTTTGCAGCATGCTCCTGCGCGCGGCGGTCCGCTGGCGCACCGTCGCCGCCGCCGGCGGCGCCTGCGCGGCCCGCGCCTGGGCGCGCTGCGAGGAGGACCTCTACGCGACGCTGGGCGTGGGCCGCAAGGCGAGCGCCGAGGAGATCCGGCGGGCCTACAAGCTGCGGGCGGCGAAGGCGCACCCGGACCACGGCGGCGACGCCGAGGAGTTCAAGCGCGTCGCGGCGGCCTACGCGGTCTTATCCGACGACGCGAAGCGGCGGCGCTACGACGCGGGCGGCGGCGCGGGCGGCCCCGGCTCCGGCGGCGGCGGCGGCTTCCCCGGCGGCGGCTTCCCCGGCGGCGGGAGCCAGCAGCAGCAGTTCGACCAGGCGTTCCGGCTCTTCGAGGAGATGTTCGGCGGCGGCGGCGGCGGCGGCTTCGGCGGCGGCGGCCGGCGCCGCGGCGCGGCGCGCATCGCGCCGCGCGAGGTCGTGCTGCGCCTGTCGCTGTCGGACCTCTTCGAGGGCGGCGACTTCCGCGTCGCCGTGCCGCGCGTCGTCGCCTGCGACGGCTGCGGCGGCCGCGGCGGCGACTTTACGGCCTGCGGCGCGTGCGGCGGTCGCGGGTCGACGTTCGAGGACCGGCGCTACGGGAGCCAGATCATGCGCACGCAGCGCGCCTGCGGCGCCTGCGGCGGCTCCGGCCGCGTGTCCGCGTCGACCTGCGACCAGTGCCGGGGCCGGGGCACGCGCGAGGAGCGCGACCACTCCGTGTCGGTGTCGGTGAAACCCGGCGCGGCCGGCGGCGAGTCCTTCTTCTTCCGCAAGGCCGGCGACGACGTCTTCTACGGCTCCGGCGAGCACGCGGGCCGCCGCGACGTCACGGTCATCATCGAGGAGGCGCCGCGCGCGGACCTGCAGCGCCTCGGCGACGATTTGTTGGTCGCGAAGCGCGTGTCGTTGCTCGACGCGCTCACGGGCTTCGCCGTCGACGCGCCGACCGTCGCGAAGCACGACCCCCGGGGGCGGACCTTCCGCATCGCGGCGGCGGCGGAGGACCTGCCCGTGGCGCCCGACGACGTCTGGGTCGTGAAGGGCGAGGGCATGCGCGACGCGCGCGACCCGTCGAAGCGCGGCGACCTCTTCGTGCGCTTCATCGTCGACTTCCCCAAGGCGCTGCCCGAGGGGGACTGGAAGGCGCGGCGCCGGGCCCTCGCGGGCTTGATCGGCGGCGCGCCCGACGCGCCCGCGGCGCAGCCGCGGCCCGCGAGCGGCGGCCTCTTCGCGGGGCTCTTCTCCGGCCTCGGCGGCGCGAAGCCCGTCGCCGGCACGAAGGGCGGCGAGCCCGCCGGCGCCGTCGCGAGCCGCGCGTCGAAGGCGAAGGTCGACGCGCTCTACCGGCGGCGCCCGCGGTCCTAAGTTTTACCCATGAAGTCGAGGAGCAGCGCCGCGACGTCGCCGGGTTTTTCGTCCATGGGCAGGTGCCCCGTCTCGGCCAGTTCCCGCAGCTCCGCGTCGAGGAGGTCCGCGACCTTGCGCGACGACCGCACGGGCACGACGAAATCGCTGTCGCCCGTGATGACGAGGAACCGGCCCGCGGCGTCCTTCGCGTCCGCGAGGAGGCGCCGCCCCGTGTCCTCGGCCGACTGGTCCGCGCGGTAGACGTTGAGCAGGGCCTTGTCCCAGGAGTCGGGGAACTCGGCGATGGGGTCCGTGTACTTGCGCGCGAAGCGCGACACGTCGGCGGCGTGCTCGGGCGCGCGCATGCGGTCGTGCATCTGGTTCAGCACCGCGGCCTCGATGTCGCGGTTCTCGGCGATGCGCCGCGCCGTCGGCAGGCCGAAGGCGTCGGGCAGCGCGAGGAGCGCGTTGAAGGCCGCGTAGCGCGCCTCGAGCTCCGCGCGCTCCCGGACGGCGGCGGGGAGCGCGTCCGGCAGGTCCAAAAGGGGCGGCAGGTCGCCGTTGCGCTCGTAGGCGTCCGGGTCCTCGCGCGGGTCCAGGGCCGCCGGGGCGATCAACGCCACGCCGGCGACGCGCGGCGCGGGCCGGTCCGACGCGGCCGCGCGCCGCGCGGCCTCGGCGGCGCCGCGGAGCGCGACGGGGCCGCCCGCGCTGTGGCCCACGAGGTAGACGTCGCGGCCGGGCGGCACCTTGCGGAGCACGAGGGGCCAGAGCGCCCGGGACACGGCGAACTTGGACGCGTAGGGGTCCTCGCCGACGCGCGACAGCGCCCAGGGCAGCCGCGGCGCGAGCGCCTTGGGCCGCCGGAGGCCCATGGCGATCGCCGCGCGCGCCTCGGGCAGCACGCCGCCGCTGAGGATGCCCTCCTCGCCGCCGCCGACGAGGGCCTCCAGGGCCTCCGCCGCGGGCTCGCCGACGCCGAAGGGCAGCGCGGCCGGCGCGGGCAGCGTCGGCGCCTCGGGCCGCTCCGTGCGGCCGAAGCCGACGCGGTCGACGGCGATGGCGCGGCAGCCGCCGTCCGCCAGCAGCGGCGCGACCTCCTCCCAGGACGCCGCGCTGCCGGCGAAGCCGTGCAGCAGGATGGCCACGGGTCCGTCGGCGGAGACCTCGCCCGTGTCTCGCACGTGATGCTTCACGCCGCCGAGCGAGATGAAGCTCGACTTGAAGCTCTGGCGCGTGTGTGTAACCGCGTTCGTCGCAGCGATGAGCGCGACGATGCAGCGCGTCGTCATTGCTGTCATGGCTGCGCGTTGCCACTGGCTTTGGCGCACCGAAGGGGCCCCTGCGCGACGGTGCGTGCCGCGGTCCCCGGCCACGTCCCCGGCCCGTGCCCGGGCCGTGCCCGGGGCCCCGTGCCGGGCCCGTGCCGGGCCTCCCCGGCCCGTGCCCGGCCCGTGCCCGGGGCCCGTGCCGAGTGCCGGGCCCGTGCCGGGCCGCGTGGCCCGTGCCCGGCCCGTGCCCGGGGGCCCGTGCCGAGTGCCGTGCCGCGTGCCGGGCCCGTGCCGGGCCGCGTGCCCTGAGCGCATTTACCGTGCCGGAACCCCCGTGCCCGCCGTCCCCGCCCCCCGTCCCGGGGCCGGACCGTCGCGCAGGGGCCCGTCACCGAGGAAGACGACTCGAGCTGGCGCGGCAAAATGCTAAGTTGAAATCGGCATGTTGAAGGCAAAGTAACTTTGTTACGTCGTCCCCGCGTCCACCGCCGCGAGCAGGTCGCGCCCGAGCTCCGCGGCGGCGTCGACGTCGCGGAGGGAGCGTTTCGCCTCGTTGTAGAGGGCGAGGAGCAGCGCCGGGACGTCGCCGTCGGACGCGCGGACGCGCGCCGCGAGGCGGGCGCCGAGCGCGTCGGAGAACACGTGGCGCGCGGGCGCGACGACGTCGTAGAGGATGCGCTCCACCGCGTCGGGCCGGATGTCGGGCCGCCGGCCGTAGCCGCAGGTCGCCGCGAGCGCCGCGAGCGCGTCGCCGGAAGGGGCGAAGTCCGCGAGCTCCGCTAAATGGAAGCGCCAGTCCCGGCCGACGCGGACGACGTCGCCGTCCGCGCGGCCGACGCGACACAGGCGCCAGAACGCGTCGAGGAGCGGCGCGGCGAACGCGACGAGGCCCGGGCCGAGGGACGTGGCCGCGGCCTCGCGCGCGAGCGCCGCCCACGTCGTCGACCGCGGGCCCGCGACGCGGCGGACGCCCGGCGCGAGACCGCCCTTGCCGAAGAGCGACGCGACGTAGTCGCCGACGCCGCGCTCGTCGACGGGCGACGCGTCGCGGCGGAGGGCCCGCAGGGCGTCGCGGAGCGCGTCGGCCCGCGTCCGGCCCTTTGGAGCGCCGAACGGCGTCGCGGCCGGCGGCGGCGGCGCGCGCGAAAAGGCGCAGAGCGCGCGGCGCACGTCCGTGAAGGTGTCGGCGCAGCGGAGCACCGCGGCGCGGCCGGAAGCCGCGCGCTCGGCGTCCCGCAGGAGCGGCACGTCCTCGCGGCCGACGACGGCGACGGGCGCCGGCCCCCGCAGCGCCGCGGCGAGGCCGCCGAGCGCCGCGCCGCGGGCGCGCTCGTCGTCGGCCACGATGAGCACGCCGACGATCGCGTCCGCGTCGGCGTCGGCGCAGGCGCCGCGCTTGAACCCCGCGCAGCCGCCGCGCCGCGCCGCGCGGGCCACGGGCCGCGAGAGCGCGGCCGCCCAGTCGAAGCCGTCGCCCCGGTAGTGCGCGAGGACGATGCGCTCGTCGCCGAGCAGCGCCTGCGTGCCGGCGTCGTCGAAGCGGACGACGGCGCGCACGCGGCGCGTCTTCGCGAGGGCCGCCACGCAGGCCGCCGCCAGCGGGCTCGACGCCGCGCCGACGACGACGACGGCGCCCGCGTGCGGCGGGGGCGCGTAGCGCGCGCCGCGCAGGTTGGCCTGCTCGTAGCGCTTGTAGAGCGGCGTGTCGCGGAGGCTGCCCATGGGAGGACTGTGCTTGCGTCGTGTGGCGTCCTCGAGGGCTGCCCTTCCGTCGACGGCGCAGGCCGCCGACACCTACTCAGCCTCCGGGCTGCATCATCCGACGGTGCCGCCAAAGCTGCTGCTGTCCGGGCTGATCAATCGCCTCGGGCTCGCGGACGCTCTCGACTGCGCGCGCGAGAGCGGTCCCTGCGCGCCAAAAGCGCCGAAAGCGCCGCCCGCGCGCGCCCAGCCGCACGACACCATGGGCCGCGGCATGCGCAACGACGTCTTCGTGGGCAACATCGCCTTCGGGACGACGGACGAGGACATCCGGCGCATCTTCAGCGAGGTGGGCCGCGTGCTCGGCGTGCGCATGGCCGTCAACGCCGAGACGGGCAAGCCGCGGGGCTACTGCTTCGTCGAGTACGACGACGCGGCGACCGCGCTCTCCGCGATCCGGAACCTCAACAACCGCGACGTCGGCGGCCGGCAGCTGCGCGTCAACTTCTCGAACAACAGCGCCCTCGTCGACTACGCGGCGTCGCGGCGCGAGGGCGGCGGCGAGCCGGCGCGCGCCAAGGCGACGCCGCGGCAGCTCGTCGAGGGCCTGTCCGCGCGCGAGGTCTGGGACGCGGTGTCCGAGGCCAAGGCGCTCGCGACGGAGGGCGACGGCGAGCGCCTCGCCGCGCTCCTCGGGAGCTCCGGCGCGCTCACGGACGCGCTCGTCCACGCGCTCCTCCAGTTGGGCATGATCCGCGCGCCGCCGGACGCGGGCGGCTTCGCGCCGCCGCCGCCGCCGGGCGCCTACGGCGGCGGCGGCTTCGCGCCTCCGCGCGGCGCGCCGCCGCCGCCGCCCCTCGAGGCCGCCGCCGCCGCGCCGTCCGTGGACCTCGTCAACGCGGCGATGAAGCTCACGCCCGCGCAGCTCGCGCAGCTGCCCCCGGACCGCCGCGCGAAGATCGAGCTCCTCCGCGCGAAGATCCGCCAGGGCCAGCTCGCCGGCGCCGGCGGGCCGCCGCCGCCGCCGCCGGGGAGCGAGCTGCTGTAAGTTAGTTAGCGTGGGGTGGCCTTCTCTCGCGCGCCGAGGCTCGCGCGCTCCGCAATCTACGGCACGAGCCGCTGCTGGTACCGGCGGCCCCGGTCGTCCTGGCAGAAGACGCGCAGGTCCGAGACGAGATCGTAGGGCTCGCCCGTCTCCGGGTCGATGAGCGTCGCGTCCGGGTTGACCGGATGCCCCATCAACACGAAGCCCTCGGCGCGCACGCGGTCCAGGAGCTCCGCTCGGGTCCCGGAGTACAGGCTGTGGGGGCGGCCGTCGGGGTAGCACTTGCAGTCTGCGCTATGGCGCTTCCAGTGACTCTTTTGGTGCTCGCGCGAGCAATAACAAACCTGCTGGCAGCCGGAGCAGAACATGAGGGCCTCCTTCTTCCCGCAGACCTCGCAGCCCGTGAGGCGCTTTCGCGCGAAGGGGCCGATCTGGGCCCGTTTCTGGAACGCGCGCCGCGCGGCCTCGTCTGGGAAGTGCGGGCGCGTCCGCGTCGGCTGCGCGCGGACGTCTTTTGCGAGCTGCATGACGCTGGCTTCCTGGAACATCTTGAGGGCCGCGGCCGAGGTCTCCGGATCGATCTTGCCGCCCAGGTCCATGACCACCTTGGCGTCCTCGATGGCCGACGAGTAGTTGCCCGGGAAGCGCGCGACCTCGGCGCGCTGCATCAGGTAGTCCGCCGCCCGGTCGTGCTGCCCCATGGCCAGGAGCGTCGGCACGTAGCGCACGAGCTTTGTCGCGTCGGCGTACGCCTTGTCGTCCTCGCGGAGGTTCGAATACATCCGCGCTCGGTACCGAAGCGCCGTCGTGAGATCGCCGTTCACTCGCATCGACACCATCTTGACGTCCCCGCCCTGGTGGAGGCCGGGCGCCGCCACCGACTCCATCTCCGTGTCGAGGCGCTCGATGACGGGCGCGAGGACGCGGATGCCGCCCTCGCAGTCTCCCGCGCTGGCCAGCGCGATCGCGCGGTCGATCTCGCCCCGCGCGGCCGTATCGGGGGCGTCGGCGGGTACGGGATCGCCCGGCCGCCACCCGGGCGGAGGCCCCGGCATGTTCGATGCCAGCTGCTGAAACGCTTCGGGTCCGATCTTGGCGATGAGTTGCTCCAGCTCCTCCGGCGTCTCGATCATGGTCGGAGTGACAGCGGCCGGGCTCGCGAACCAGTCCTCGCCGTCCGTCGCGCCACGCCCGACGGCCTTCGCGAGGCGCTTCGTCTTCTTCTTGCTCGTCTTGAGCGCCTCGGCGTAGCGCTTCTCGATGTCTGGGCGTTCCAGTAGGTCGGCGACGGACAGACCGGCGTTCTGAATGACTTCCTTCATCTCCTTGATCGACACCATGGTGTGGCTGCGAGCACGCACGAGGCCCCTCGCGTAGATTGCCGACCAGACTGTGCTGATCCGACTCAACATCCGGCCGTCATGTTCAACATGCCGTCACCATGCCCTCCAGAGTCTATCCGCACGCTCGCCTAGCAGCGCCCTCCTAGAAAAAGGACCCTTACTTCTTCGGTGCGCGCCCGCTCTCGAGGTCGCCGCGCTTGGCGGAGAAGTTGCGGCCGAGCGCGGGCTGGTACGTCGGCGGCGCGGGGTCGTCGGCGTCGTCGCCGCGGTGGCCCTTGGACTCCTCCGTGCCCCGGTCGTCGATGGGCGCGAGCCGGAGCCGCGGCGACACCTTCTCCGCGCGCGACGACCCGAGGATCTCGAGCTTGGGCGACAGCGGTTCGTCCTGCGCCGCGGCGCTCTCGATCGGCGGGAGGTGCGCCTTGCGGGCCCAGGCGCTGTCCGTCTTGGAGACGGCGAGGTGGTGGACGGGCTGGTTCGCGTCCGTGAGGCCGAAGTCGCCGTGCTTGGGCTTGGCGGGCGGCTTCTTGAGGATCAGCGACGCGAGTTGGTCCTCGGAGAGGTCGTCGATCGCGTGCTGCGTCGCCTCGTACTGGGCCCTGGTCGGGAGGATGGACGTGGGCACGGGCACGTCCGGGAGGTCCGACGCGCGCCGCGGCGCGCCGCCGGGCGCGACGCGGAGCTCGCGCACGGACCCTAGACGGCCGAGCGCCGCGCCGCGCGACTCCGCGAGCGCGTCGCGCTTCTCCCGGGCGGCCTCGGTCTCGACGACCTTGGGCGTCTTGGGCGTCGCCGGCCCGTCGCTGACCATGTAGGGCACGACCGTGCCCTGGGCCGTCGGCTTCTTCGTCCGCGCGCCGCGCGTCTTCAGTCCCCGCTCAAGCATGACGTGCATGAAGAGGTAGGTGAACCCGAAGGCGACGGCGGCGACGGCGATGGCCGCCAATAAGAAGATGAGCCAGAAGCGGCCGTCGGCCTCGGCGCCCGCGGCCTTCTTGCCCCGGTAGGGCACGGACGGCGGCCGCGTCGGCGCGAACGTCGTCGACGGCGACGGCGTCGGCGGCAGCGTCGGCGACGGCGTCAGCCAGTCGGGCGTCGGGACGGACACGACGTCGTAGGTCGTCGCCACGACCTGGGGCGGCGCGGCGACGGCGAAGTCGGCGACGCCGTAAGAGACCGCGTAGTCGGCGACGGCCGCGTCGAGCGCGCCCGAATTGACGTGGTCCGTCAAATTCGCGGTGACGGCGTCGACGAGCGCGTCGAGGTCGTCGTCGTAGCCGTAGGCCGCGCCAATGACCGTCATCTCGAAGTCGACGGCGAGGTCGTAGGACGACGCGAGGAGCGCGCGGCCGCGGCGCCGCGCGTCCGACACCGCCGTGACGTCGACGCTGTCGCCGCGGACGTAGCCCGAGCAGTCCGCGATGCCCGCCTCCAACGCGGCGATGCGCGACGCGCTCGCGAGGATCGTCGACGCGTTGGCGCTCGAGGCCATGGCGAGGGTCGACGCGACGACGACGGCGGTCTCCGTCGTCGTCGGCGCGATCGTCGGCGGCAGGAGCGCGGACGGCGCCGCGGTGCTCGGGATCGCCGTCGACGGCGCCGCCGTCGTCGGGATGGCCGTCGTCGGCGTCGCCGACGGCGCGGGCGTCGGCGGGAGGGAGATGGACGGCGACGCGGTCGGGTTCCGCGAGATGACGCCGCCCTCGTTGCAGAAATACAGATCCGCGACGGGCCCGACGGCGACGAAGCCGTCGTCGACGGCCGAGCGGATCCAGAAGGACCCGGAGGCGCCGAGCGTGAGCAGGAAGCAGCCGTCGCCGAGGCAGACGTGGCCCTTGGATTCCAGGACGCCGCCGGCGACCTCTTTCACCGGGGTGGTTCCGTTCGTCGCGTTGTACAGCGAGAAGGACACGCCGGCGTTGTCGGCGTCGTAGCGGAAGAGTTCGCTCCGGTCCCAGCCGCCGGAGCCGTCGGCGACGTTGCAGTCGTCGAAGGACGGGAAGGGCGTCGGCACGCGCGACGGCGCGGGCGACGGCGCCGGCGACGGCGCGGCCGAAGGCGCGGGCGCGGGCACGCCCGTGGGCGTCGCCGTCGTGGGCCGCGGCGACGGCGCGGGGATGGGCACGCCCGTCGGCGCCGGCGACGGCTTCGGGCTGATCGTCGGCGTCGCCGAGGGGATGCCGTAGAAGGACCCGTCGGCCTGCGTGCAGAACGCGAAGGAGCTCTTGGGCACGGCGACGGCGAGGCCCGCGGGCTCCGCGTCGCTCGTGAGCGTCCAGGTGCCCGACGATCCGGCGAGGGTCACGAGGTAGCAGTCCGCCGCGAGGCACGCGTAGCCGTTCCTTCCCGCGACGGTCGCGACGACCGCGTCCGCGGCGCCGGCGCCGCCGACGCGGTCGTAGATGGACCCCGTCGCGGCGACGTCGGCGTCGTAGCGGAACATGACCTCGGACGACGCGCAGTCCGGCGACGGCGACGGCGTCGGGAGGGCCGACGGGAGCGGCAGGGGCATCGCCGTGGGCAGCGGCTGCGGCGCCGCGGACGGCGCGGCCGTCGTCGGCTCCGGGGACCTAGGAGGAACGGTTTCCCGGCGATAAAAACACGCGCGCTCCCGTCGTCGGACGCTGCCGGCGACGGCTTCGTGCTCGGCGCGGGGGTCGGGATGCCCGACGGCTGGGGCGACGCCGTCGGCGCGGAGGTCGGGAAGCCCTCGAGGAGGCCGCCCAGCACGCAGGCGCGGATCGTCTTGGCGCCCGCGGCCTCCGCGGACGTGCCCGACGAATCGTCGAAGCGCCAGGCCGTGTCCGCGTCGTCCGTGCTCGTCACGGCGACGTCGTAGCACGCGTCGGCGAGGCAGACCCAGTCCATGAAGTTCTCGGACCGCTCGAGGGCGCCGCTCTCGAGCGCGGACGAATCGCCCGCGCCGCGGATCTCCCAGGTAACGTTGCCGAAGCCCTTGAGGCGGAAGCGCGCGCCCGAGGCGCAGTCGATGGACGGGTTCAGCGTCGGCGCCGCGGACGGCGCGGCCGTCGTCGGCGCGTTCGTCGGCGGCACGGACGGCGCGGGCGAGGGCACGAGGTCGTGGTCCTTGACGTGGACGTAGCTCTCGAGCGTCGCCGCGTCGTCGAC